TCCTGGCTCCATCCTTTATGAGCTATGTGACCTTGTGTGACCTTACTAAACATCTATGAACCTCAGCTTCCTCATTTTACAAATAATTGTGCATACCTCCATGAGGTGTTCAGAGGATGAAATGTTAAGATACGAATTTAGAACAATAGTGCTGGCCCATGGTAATCCTTTCCAATTCATTCATTCAAAGCCGTTCACTAGTGAAGGAAACAACATGGGCATTGAGGATACAGAGATATCCCTACATCACCTGCCTGTGAGGAGCTCACAGTCCACTGGAGCTGACAGACACAGACACACAGGGACAGTAGACTCCAGAGGGTATGGAAGAATTACTAGAGAAACATGAATAATGGAGGAGGAGAGGCAGGAGTGTTAACCCAAGTGCAGGTGGGTCATTTGAGCTGAGATGGGTAGGATGGACGGATTCCTGCAGGCAGAGATGAGGAGAGGGCATGGCTGGCAGCCCCCACTGCATGAATGTGGGCAGGAAGCCATGAAAGGGCAGGACATGTTGGGAGGAGAATAAGAATCCAATATGGTGGCCGTGCAGTGGCCTTAGATGGTGAGGGGCAGGGAGTGGGCACAAAGTGACAATGCCAGAAAGGCCCCTCTCAGAGAGGGCCCAGAAATTCAGTATGCAGAGTTGGGGCTTTATCCCAGAGGCAACAGGAAACCACGTGATCAGGTGGTCATGTGGGAAGTTTCATCTGGAGGACTGGGAGCAGTTCCAGCTGGGGGGAGGTCACTGTCACAACAGACAGTGGGAAAGCCACAACCTCTGCTAGAACCACAAAACCAGCTGTAGCCACATGAGATTTCTTATCATACAGGAAAGCTCAAAACCCAAGGATTCCATGAAACTTGACAGTTCTCAGTAACATCTGTCCAGCACTGGCTCAGTGCCCCTACACTGCTTCTGAGCCAGTCCTCACAGTAGTGCTGTGAGGTGGGGACAATCAGCTCCTGCTTAGAGCACGAGGTCACACAGCTAGGAGACAGGAGATGTAGGATTTGACACAGGTCTGGGGGGCCCCTAGCCCGCCTGCCTAGCCACCTTCTCATACTGAAAGGGTGCTGCCCTCTGCCTGCTTCCGTTTGTAGGAAAGCGTTCCACAACTTCAACTACTTTCTGTTCTTCTACAACGTGCTGCTGGGCCTGGGTGCCTGCCTCTCCAGGCTGCTCATCAGCTGCATCCTGGGCACGTGGCTGATCGCCCGCATCGACAGGACCATCGTGCAGAGTGGCTATGAGGGAGCAGACATGGGTAAGTGGCCAGCCCCCGAGGGCCATGCATCTGGGGAGGGCTGGCCTTGCACCTTTGTAGAAGCTGCCTGGAGGTCGGGTATCAGAGGCCCACAGGTCACACTCTTCACTTATATTTAGAGCTTGTCTTCCCACGGAGGCTATGAAGCTGAGTAGGAAAAACACACTCATTCAGAAGCGAATTCAGGCTATTATCAACACCTCACATTTGACAGACCTTTGAGGTATCATGGAGGGCAGTGAGAGGTAGCGGAATTCTATCCAAACAGAAGGTAACGTATGAATGCACAGCTCTAAAATTTCTGAGAAAGAACACATCTCAGAATTACTGGTATTCTTAGTTGGAAACAAACTTAGTTAAGAAAACGGTCTGTTCGGTTGCAATACTCAAAAATCAGCCACTTCTGTGGAGCAGAAATGGTTTTTGTTCTGTTTCTGGCCCGTGTCCATTCACTCACTCATCCATTCATTATATGACCGATGCCTTCTCCTATTAGCCACAGAGGCTCCTGGCCCCTTTGAGCTTCAAATTCCCCATGGAATGGATAGATTAGGATGTGATCTCGAAGAACTCTTCCAGCTCTTTCTACCTTATTTTCTAGATTCTCAGCAAAGACACGGGCACCATTTAGGAACAAAGTGATGCTGCAGTTATGTTATAAAAAGCAAGAACTGGGCCATCCTGGGCTGTACTGCCTGGCCTGACTTGTCTTCTGGCTTTCAGGGTACAGTGCATGGATTGGCATGCTCTATGTGGATCATTATCATACCAACCCTGTGCTTGTCAGCTTTTGCCACATCCTGATCACAGGCCACAGGGAGAGGAGGCTGCAGCAGGCCATCAAATACTGGTACCTAAATCAGTCAGCAGGTAAGTCTCCTGTCTGAATCTACACTGGGGTTGGATGAGAGGAAAAAGTACCCTAAGCCTTGTCTGGGATTCCTGAGATGTCCCAGGTTACCCTTCCCCACCCCCCTTCCTCCACACTCCATGCCCTGGGAAACCTTCTACCCAGGAGATCAGGAGGCTTACCCCCCAGTCAGCCTGGCTATGGGACCCCTGAGGCCTTGTGTCCTTGTCTTTCTGACTGGGTTCCTCCCTTTTTCTGGGAAATGAGCTCTAGTTCTGCTAGCTGAGTCCTTCATTCCCCCATTTGAGACCCCACCCATATCCCAGGATGCAGGCCAGATGCCCTCCAAGATAGCACTCAGTTTTGTTCACCACAAGCTCTCCCGGCCACCAACTCCTGCCCCCTCAAGGCTCTAGTGTCTCCTCCCACCCCTGTTATTCTGCTCTGCCTTCTGCTCGGAAGCCCATCAGTTAGCCATGTCTTGTCAGCAGCGATCTGGACTGTGTTCATCACTGTTCCCAACGCTGCAGATACTCAGCTCTGTGGGACAAACTCGCACCCCTCCAGCCGCCCTCATGTCCCCAGGAGTCCTGGTCCAGCTCCTTCTCCTACTCCTCACATCTACTGGGCAGCTTTTCCTACAGCCTCTGAGGAGGACAGAGACAAGCTGCCCCCTCATTCCAATCCGTCTACTCTGATTCTATCCTAGGTCCCCGCATCTCAGCCAGGTCCAGGACGAGGTGGCTCCTGCTGCAGACCCTCATCAACAACCCCAGACTGGTCATGCTCAGAAAATCGAGAGCAGGTTATGGTTCCCAGGAGTTTACCCCGATTCCAGTGACGTGCTTGGAATGCTGACGCTGACCTGCAACTGTGCCACCAGGCCATTCCAGGATCACTGCCGCTGAGAGAAGGCCCAGGCCCCCCAGCAGCTGTCCCCTGCAGTGTGATGGGATGCACAGCTACTGTCCATGCAAATGGCACACAGCACTGGCCAGGATGGCACCTGGGCTGAACAAGGAAGTCTCAGGTCTAATTCACTCCCTTGGCAAAAAGATCAAGAACTAAAGAGAATTTCTGTTGAACAGACTTTGCCCAATAATGAGCTCCACTATCCATGGTTAGGAGGCAGCCTGGGGACTTCCATGGCGAGAAGCAGTTAGTTTGACCACAGGACAGAACTTTGTGCCACTGAAGAAGGTGGTAAAATTTCTATATGAGGAGAGTTTAACCGTTTGACGCAGTTTTTCTTGGGAAGAAAGGGTGGCCTTAATCCAACGGGGTCCTCATTGCTTCCTCCTTTCCAGGTCCTACGGTGGTGGGAAAGAAGGAAATCCATGATCCCAGCCTCCAATCTGGGAGAGTGAGCCGGCACACAGTGAGCTCTCCCTGCCAGGGCCACTGGGAAGAGGGACAGATCCAAACTGACCAGGGTCTTGGTCACAAAGAAGATGCACAGATTCCCTCTGACAAGGGAGGATCACCTGGGACAGCTGCCTGTCTGAGGAGGCAGAGATGGGGTGGATAGGCATTCTATGTGGGGGACAAGAAGAGCAGAGGTGTGGGAGCCGGAAAGGTCCACGCCTGTTTGAGGAGGATGAGCCCTCTGGTGTTTGCAGTGCAGGGCACTGGGGGCTGCTTAGACCATTCCTCCTTAGGCCCCGATGCCAGGCTGGGAGGCCTGGACATCTCTTGTTGTGCAGAGGGCCCAGTACTGACCCAAATTCTTCACAGCTAAGCCTCAAGTCTCTGAGGGCCTGGAACCTGTACAAAATCTGACCATTTCAAGTCACTCATGAAGCCTGTGCAAGAGCCAGGAGGCTCCACCAACAGGGTGAGAGAAATCCCTGTCCACCTCACAAGTCCCAGAGCCACTGCAACTCAGTAATCGTTACTGAGTATCTCCTGTAAACCAGTCGTGTTGCTAGGTGTGTCTGCCATACTTATCTCTCTTAATACTCCACAACTAAGCTTTGTCATTCTGCTTTTAGAAACTGAGAAAACTAGGAGAGGTGGCCATGAGGGCAGGGTCTGTACCTGCCCCCACCCAGCTCCTGCCTGGCCTCACCTCTCATTCTTGCTGAGCTGCTCCATGTCCTGGACCAGGCCCCAAGTCGCTCCTCGGGCTTGGGTGCAATGATTTGCAGCCACCTGGAGCAGCAGAATCTCTCTCACGACTTTGTATTCCCAGGGCAGAGGGAAGGACAGAAAATGCAGACAGGGCCTGGGTGGGGGATGCTGCAGGGGCCTTGTTGGGGTGAGGGGTGAGGAGTGAGGAAGGGCTCGGTCCTGCGTCTTTGCTCACATGAGAACCCTCCTTCCCTCCAATTCCATCCAGGTCCAACCTGTTCTCACGGATGGGTGTAAATAGCCCCTCCTCCAGGAAGTTGTCCTTGATGCCAGCCCCTTTCCCTCACCCGCCAATCCAGTGCGTTTCCCACTTCTCTGTCACCAAACTCTCCCAATAAATGTAAGACGCAGGGGATGGAGCAGGGAGGGTCCTGCCCAGCGGGTCTCTGATTTCCACTGCCCTACCCTCCCCTGCAGTGAGTGCCACAGCTGCTCACCTTAGTCCTTTTCTGGAGGTTGATCCGATTCTCCTGAGAGGCAGGCAGCCAAAGTCCTTCAGAAAGAGCCCCCTAGCCCATAACTAGCCCCTCATCCTCAGGTCTTCTCATGTTGCACTACCACCAGCGCCCTCAAGGGGGCAGCACACACAGAAAACAGGCTTGGACCTAGGCCAGGCTCTGGGCTTCAGAGCTGGGGGGACATGGGAGCTGAGGCTCAGGGATCTTCCAGCCCAACCCTCTCTGATGACAGATGGGGAGACTGAGGCGTCAGGCAGGAAGAGACTGCTCGGC